AATTCAAGCTGCTCTCTCCTCATCTGGAAGAGCAGGACAATTTACTCAACATCTCTGAGTCTTAGTTTCCTTATAGGTAAAAGGGGAACTAAACTCGTATTTTACCTACGAGGCTGTTCCAGAAGAAAGCTAACATTCTCCTGATTGTCAATCAGGCCACGGCTCTTTACGTTGCCATGCAAGGCCTCATCACCACAGCTGACTTACACCCTGTGTAAATAAAATGACTACACAGATCTCAGTGAACCTGCCTGCTCTTGCCTTCAATCAGGGACCCCAGGACAGCATGCCCTGCTCTTTTCTTGTGAGCTCTCCTACTTGCAAAGTTTCTTCCCACCCTCTGTTATGAATCCTTGGGTGGATAACCTTCTTAAACTCAGGCTCACTGGTACCTGTAGTTTTCCCATGTTTAAAAAAAGTCAGAGCCGGCCGGGCGGTGGTGGCGCACGCCTTTAATCCCAGCACTCAGGAGGCAGAGCCAGGTGGATCTCTGTGAGTTCGAGGCCAGCCTGGACTACCAAGTGAGTTCCAGGAAAGGCGCAAAGCTACACAGAGAAACCCTGTCTCGAAAAACAAAACAAAAAAAAAAAAGTCAGAGCCAAGATGACTACCTCCGCTGTCCTTCCAGTGCAGCTCAGTTTAGAAGAGGCCATGGCCAGCTGCTCAGACGACCAGACTGCTGTGTCAGCTGGTCTTTATGTGTTGATGGCAACGGTTCTCAAGTTTATGCCATGCACCGGAATCAGGCGGAAGACCTGTTCAAACAGACTGCGGGACATTTTCCTAAGCCTTGTGGTTCTGTACGTCTGGGGCGGTCTGAGGATCTGCATTTATAACAAACACCCAGGTGATGCTGATGTTGCTCACACCCAGGGTCCATGTAGAGAGCCACTGGCTTAGGGCAGCAAATGGAAGCACAGGTAAGGTAGCAGAGATCATCCCACTTTTGTGCAGGTCATAGATCCACCCCTACCTTCTTTGCAGAGAAAACAGGAGCTGAGGATTTGCTTTACCTCTGTATTTTGTTTTTATCTATCTATCTATCTATCTACCTATCTATCTATCTATCTATCTATCTATCTATCTATCTATTTATTTATTGGTAGTGCTGGGGGTCGAACCCAGAGTTTCATGTATACAAAGCAAGAGAACTACATTCCCAGCCTACCTTTGTCTCTTGTAGCTTCAGTACCATCTGCCTCTATTTTGTTGTTGTTGTTTGCCTGAAAGATAAGGCAGCTTTTGGTGCTGTTATTGTTTTTCCTACTATTTCTATGAGCTCAAGCCCATTTTGGCTTTGGTAGTCTTGGCATTATTCTTCTAGAGTCCCTTCACCATTTCCTGGCCATGTGCACTAGAAGTAAACAGAAGCTGACAAGGAGCCACAGAAGAGTCCCGAATCTGTCCCTTACCAGGCGGCCTTTGAAAATGAGTTACTCTATGAGGCTTAGTTTTTCTATCTTTAAAATGGGGATAATGGGACTAAGTCTAGCCTTGTGATTACATGGGATAAGGCTCAGCATGGTATCTGGCCCATAAGCAATAGCTATGATATCCACGTGCCTCGTACTTCCCCATTTTTCATTTCTGTTCCTCCACACAGCATTCAGAATGATTAACCGTTGGCATCTAAGCATGTCTGCTTCTCTTCAGAAGAATATTTCACATGCATGCAAAGAAATAGCCAAGCAGATCAGGGAAGACAAACCCATCTGGTCCAGGGATGAGAAAGTTTTAAGAAGATCATGTCCCACTAGGTGCTGATGTGTGTTGAGATTCTGAAGTGTTCTGACAGTTCATCTTGTCCTGCCTGTTGGGAAAGCTGCCCCAGGCCCTGGATAACCACTGTGCTAATATAGAGTCTACACTAGGGTGATACTTGTAGGCCCACTGAACTTCTCTGGCCCCTGCAGATCTGGACATGAAGAGGCCCAAGTCCCCACTGCATCTGCTACCCTGGGAGTCAGATGTCACGGCTCTACTCTTGATTGTGCCACTTAATGGCTGAGTCACCTTGTATGGATCCCTGGACTTTGCTGAGCATTAATGAGCAGAGATACTAGTATGCCGCAAAAGTCGCCTCTCCTTGGAGGTCCTCACCAGCAGAGTGCAAGAGTTCCAGATTCTCCAAGTCCTCACAGGCACTAGTCTTCTGGTCACTTTATTAGTTTATTTGATGAGAGTTATGCTCCTAGGAGTGACGTGGTGCCCGCTGTGGTTTTGTGCTCTCTGCAGTCATCGGTGATGCTGAATGGCTCATCATATGCTAATTATCCATTTGGGTATCTTCTTTGGAGAAATGTGTATTCAAATCCTTCTCCTATTGTTTGAATTGGGTTGTCTGTGCTTCTGCTGTTAAGCTGTAGGAGTTCTTCACAGGTCCTGGATGTTGGTCCCTCACCAAACATACGACTTGTAAGTGTTTCTGCCTATGCTACGGGTTTCCTTTTTCACTTCTCTGACAGATCCTCCTTTATACATAGTGGGCCCCCTGCCATCTTCGCTACCACCCCATTGGGCATTTCTCTCACGATTTCACTCTGCGCCCCTTGCAAACCTGTTCCTTCATTTTCAGTGACCACCGGGTAAGGCCAGAGATGGAGGCGAGTTCTTGCCCGGGGACAGGCTGGCTGCCCACCTTCTCACTGGACTCAGTACTCCACAAGATGGAGGGGTCTGTGTAAGAAAATCCATCCCAAGGCACCTCTTTCTTTACCTCCTCTCCTGGCTCAAAGCTTGAGGTGGGGCAGCCCACCTGTTGTTCCTGCAGTATTCCCTCCTGGAGTGCTTGCAAAGAGAGCCGCCTTCTTCCCAGGATCAACAGCCTGTTTGTTTAAAGGGCTCATTACGGCTGCTTAATGCTATTTTGACAGATGAAAGTGAGTCAATTATGGCTAAAAATAGCTCTGGCTGCAGAGGTTTCTTCCAGATGGCTGCCTGCACCCCATCCAAAGGACTTTTGCTCTTATTGTCAAAGGGCAGCTCTCTGCCCTCGGCTGTCTCCTTGAATCTCCAGATCAACTCAGGAGGGGCCTCCTTCCAGGAATAAATGCCCTTCAAGGCGTGGGGCCTAAGCCCTGGAGAGCAAGGTTGCTCCGACAGACCCACTCTGGCAGAATGAAGGGAAAAGACGCTGCAGAGGTTCTCTTGTGTCCTTCTGGAACAGGGACCACTCTGTCTCACCAGCCAGGGTATGACCCAATGTGGTTGCCCTGGTAGTTTCTTTCTTTAGATCTGTCTTGGGGCCAGTGTATTCCCTGGGATAACACATACCAAAATATGTCCAACTTTGATCATAAGCATGAATGTCTTAGAGTCACCTTTTTTCATGAGTCCTATGTGGGTGACTCAGATGGTTTCCCAGGTTTTACATCGAGGCTCCACCAAACAGTATTCCCATGTTCCTCAGTGGCAAGGAATCAGTACTGGGGAGCTTCCACTGTCTTTGGAGTAAGGCTGTGATTGGCCCCTTGGTTGGGTGGACAGCTGGGTAGGTCAGTGGGTGATGCGTATTTTTAGCAGACATATCAAATTTATGTCTAAGGAAGTACTCAGTTCCTCAGTACCTGCTCTCACCCCACCACCCAGGCTTCTGCAGGCTCTTGTATGCCAGAATATAGTACCACCATCCACCCATTTGCTTAAGCTCTAATCCCAAAAGGATGTGAAAAGAGACGCATTCAATACCATCTGTCCCCAACATTCTATCACCAGCCACCGTCTAAATGTAACTGTGTGGTACACCTTTGCCCACAACCATCCAGCCAAGCTATTCCTGAATTTCGATGAACATCAATTGGAAAGAACACAGTTACCATTTTTTTCCGCAATCCTAAATTTTGGAGTGATTTCTTACCCTGTAATAGATAACTGGAACCAAGTGAGTGAGTACTTAACATCCAGCTCTGCTGGCTGTTGTGACCCAGGGTGTGACCCCAGGCAGTTTCCTGGCCCAAATCCCTGGGGGTGGGCCTGTGCCTGGTCTCACAGTGGGGAAGGAGTAAGCAGGAAGTTAGGAATTACCAGGTTGGCTGAGCTGTTGAAAAGCCCAACTGGATCAATGTGGACTTAATCAACTATTTCCTTCCTTCCTTCCTTCCTTCCTTCCTTCCTTCCTTCCTTCCTTCCTTCCTTCCTTCCTTCCTTCCTTCCTTCCTTCCTTCCTTCCTTCCTTTATATTGTTTTGAGACAGGGTCTCATGTAGCCCATGCTGGCCTTGAACTCACTATGTTGCTGAGGATGACCTTGAACTTCTGATCCTTCTGCCTCCACCACCTGAGCTTTCAGCCACCATGCCCTGGTTGTGCAATGCTGGGGACTGGACCCAGGGCTTAGTGCAAGAGTCAAGGATGATGGCGACGGTGGTGTTGCCAATGGTATCTGTATTAGAGGTTGTGCTGACATTACTCCATTTAGTCCTTACACCTCAGCAATGTTACCCTTCCCACCCCTGCCTACTGATGAGGAAGTGAAAGTCTACGGAGCTGAAGGTGAAGTCAAAGCCATTTGTTCCTGGTGGAAATCACCTACCTGAGATGGCGGATATGTGACGTATCAGTCGCCATCTTCCTTCCCAAGTCCATGTCATCTGTTCCCACTGAGCCTCGATATAACCTCCAATTACTTACTTTCTTTCTTTTTTTTTTTTTTTTTTTTTTGGTTTTTCGAGACAGGGTTTCGCGCCTTTCCTGGATCTCGGTTTGTAGACCAGGCTGGCCTTGAACTCACGAAGATCTGCCTGCCTCTGCCTCCTGAGTGCTGAGATTAAAGGCGTGCGCCACCACCGCCCGGCCCCAATTACTTTCTTAAGAGCACAGTAAGTAGGCAGCTCACCTGGATGAAACCGGTTTGCCAACCACCCTCCTTGCTGATGGAGGTTCAGAAAGGCCAGGCAGTTCTCTAAGAGCCTTCAGCTTAATGGGTGTGGAGATGGAAGTGCCTCTGAGAGGCAGCCCTGCTTACCACCCGCATCCAACCCTTAGCCACGGTGGCGCACTCACCCTCGGACTGCGTGCAGCAGGCGCAGGGAAGGGTAAGCTGTGCGTACGTTGACGTGGTGCTTCAGGATGAGAGCGTTGACCCACTCCACACGTTCTTTGCCACCCCGGGCCATGAAGGCAGGTATCCACAGGATGCTCCCATTGAGGCCGTGCAGCCGCTGCAGCAGCTTCTCCCGCCACGTGGCATTCACCAGGTCCTCAAAGGCCCGCTGGATGACTGACGGGTTCATAGTCACTAGATCTGTCTTGAGGCCCACGTCCCGGGCGTACTCCTGAACTGGAGCCAGGTTGCACCTGAGGGATAAAAGGCAACATGGTCCTTCTTACGTTGAACTTTACCCTGTCCTCTGCCTCTTCTTGCTTCTTTCTCTTCCTCCGCCCAGGTGCATCATGGGTACTTTGCGTCCCAAGTATTTTCTCCCTCCCTTCCTGCCTTGAGCGTTTACTGAGCCCCCTGTACATCCTTAAACACAAAATGCCACTCTCCTGGAGGCCAGTATCTAAAAGAGGAACAACAGTGCTATCCCTCAGCCCCACAATGGGGTTGCCTTTAGCAGGGGTGCCCTGGACCGTTAGAGTGAGGGCTCAGAAGACAGATTTCCAGGTTCGATACTCAGATCGGACACCCTCTACCTGTGTGATCCTGGACAGCTTTCTCAGCCTCTCTCTGCTTCCTGAGAGCTCCCATTACTTTGGCTGTGGTGGAGACCACAGGGACACGGTTACTCAGAATGCCACGGGACCATAATGAGAGCATAGCCAATGTTAACTGCTGTTATCTTTGTACGAGGTAGAAGGACGATCAGGTGTCAGAGCAGGGAGAGAAACATGAAGGATAGGTGAGCAAAAGAGCACTGGTGGACAGCTACAGAAAAAGAGCTTGTCTCCGGTTTGTAAAGTCAGGAGAATCCCACAGAGACTAGTTAAAAATAGGCTTCCCCAGGTCCTGATTCAGCAGGCCTCAGAGCTTAAGAATTTATATGTATATATGTATATTCATGTGCATACATATACTTTCTAAAAATCTCTTCCTCCTTGAGTTCCAAGCAACTTAAAAAAAACAACACCACCATGCCATGGAATTTTAGGCACAAGAAATTTGCCTAAGGGCAGCGACTGTGAAACCGCATAGGTGTTTGGAGGAGGCGTGCGAATTGGTTTGACTAACAGGTATTATGTAGATGAGACAGGGAACAAGAGGGAAGCCGGATGAGATATCAGAGGTTGGCTGTGCCAGGACTTGGCTCTGAAGGCAGTAGGCAGCAGGGAGCCATTTGAAGGGTCTTGAGGGAAAGAGCAAACAGGTAGATCTGTACACTGCATTCTCTTTCTGAACCAATCAGCCTGCCTATTCACTGAAGGACTGCCTTGGGTCCCTTCCTCAAGGGTCTGAGGGTGTTTGAGGGCCCCTAAGACTGAGTCTGTAGCCAGGAAGTACTGTCTTCCCTGGAGAACTGGGTGGTAAGGAAAATCTCTGCATCAGTGGGAATAAATGGAGAACTCGGAGCAAGTGTGTTCAGTATGGAGGCTAACTACGTGTAAGTGAGGTGCCAGGTGCCATCATTCATTGTGTACCACAGACACCATCTGCCCCTGCCTTTAAGCAGCAACTTTTCTTCTGTGGCTGGGGAAGAAAGCCAGTTGAGTGGATAGCACGCTGGTATCCTGAGCCCTGGACTACACTGCCCACATGGCTAGTATTCCCGCCCGCCCCCCCCCCCCCCCAGGTCAGCTTATGAACCTGTATTTACTGCAAACCTATATACATGACCCCATTTTACTGACAGAAGAAGAAAGTCCTCAGCTGCCAATTAACTTGCCCAAAGCCTCTGAGCTAAGAAGGAGACCATTAGGATTCAGAAACTTCAGGGCCTCCCCAAACACCTCTTGTCTCCATCCCTTGCCCCAGCCTCGCTACCTTTTCAAATGTCCCTGCTCCAGGCCACAGACAGTGGGATGTACTAGCAGCAAAGTGGCCTGTCTGGTGCTGCTGTTATCTCCCTGTTACTCCAAGGCCAGCTAAACCAGTCTTCCAATACTTTCCTGAGTGTTGGGTCTCTTTGTGGACTGACTTCCTAGCCCTGGGAACAGAGCCCGGGGAATTTGATCATGCCAGGCTCACTGGAGACCACCACTAACTGTAACAGGGCAAAGAAAACACAGGTTTAGTCAGCCTGTAGCAGATTTGAGGGCTGGTCAGGGGGTAGGGAACACACTAATTGATTCCTATCATGAGGATCTGAAAGGCCTCCACTGGAAGGGACATCAGGGTATTTGTGTCCTCTGAGGGCAGGACCATTCACAGCAGGGGCTTCATACCTACATAGGGTTGGGGTGGGAGTGTGGGGTCTGTGAGGTTTAAGCTTGTCCAATGGTGTGTCTTCAGACATTGCTGCTAGGCGTGTGTGTGTGTGTGTGTGTGTGTGTGTGTGTGTGTGTGTGTGTGTGTGTGTGTGTAGGGGGCAGCTGAGCCATGGGTGGACTCTGGAAATGTTCCTTTCCACTGACACAGAATACATGAATTTTTTCATTTAAGGGGGAACAGCTCTTTCTGACTTTGGTTCTGGTGGATATAGGCTCTCTTGTTCAAAGAGAATTCTAGGTGAAGGAGCTGCATTGCTGCCTGGCTTCTGGCAGGGAGGGAGCTGGCTCCTTCCAGAAATAACTGTATCCACAGGTACATGTAGAGTAAGCCTCAAGAAGAGGGGGCAGTCATGGCTTCGAAGCCAGGCTGCCAGCTCTTACAGCCTAACCCTGACTGTAGCTAGTCACCTGGATCTTGGCCATCCATTCCTCAGTTTCCTCACTGAAAAGAATAGTGCTGAGAGGTAAATAAATTCATAGATGTATATAGGCTAACACCAAATGCCATGAGCATGCTATTAATAACATGCTGAGGGCACAGCACTGAAGGGACTATGCTGATGGTAATCTGTGTGTGTGTGTGTGTGTGTGTGTGTGTGTGTGTGTGTGTGTGTGTGTGTGTGTATGTGTGCGTGTGTGTGTTGCTCAGAAGAATGAAGCTGGGGATGGCATCTCTCCTCATCCTGGCATTGTAGTCTTGTGTCATCCTCTTGGGCCTAGCTGCCCCAGCCATCTCAGTTCCCAGAAGCCAGTGGGCAGCCAGCATCTGCTCAATATAGCCTCCTGGACTGGTTCTTGCTTCCCCATCCATCCTGTTGTGGTCTGCTCTCCCTTGTGGAGGTGCTGCACATTGCAGGCTCATTGTGTGCCCTGTGTGCTGTGACCTACTAGGACTCCTGGGGTCCTATTCTCCAGTAGTTTCCTGAGGAGGTGGCAATGCCCTCGTGTGTCCCTCACATGGAGTGGGGCAGAAACATAAACGAGGAAGACTAATTTTGCAGACTTTGAGAAATGGAGGCAGGCAGCCATGAAGACGGTTTTAGCGTTTGGCATTGGAGTACAGGCCTGTGGGGCCCTCTTGTGTGCTCGGCACACCTTGGCCAGGAGATCAAGACACAGACACAAAAAGCTACTGTCATTTCAGGAGCTCTCTGTCTGGGGGTGAGGTAGTGCAGTGGAGACACAGTGTTTATAGAGAATGAATACTCAGTGTACCATTATGTGGGGACACAGGGCATGCCCACATACCTAACATTCATGACATCATGTTCTTTTGATTGTATGTATGAGTATAAGTGTGCTTGTGGATATGGGGGTCAGCAGAGCATGCTATAGCCTAGCCTCTCTAAGTGTATCTTGCACACCTCCCTTGAGGTCTTGTGGGAAATCCAGAGTCTTGGGCTCACTTCATAGCTGATGCCTCTGTATTTCAATAAGCCAGCAGATATGTATCCACATTAAAGTGTGGAGAAAGCTGGGTTAGCATCTGGAAAGGCTTCATCATGTGAGGACAGAATCAGCCAACGCAACCCAAACAGGAAGGGGAGTGATCTATTCCAAGTCACGTGACAAATGACCATTAGCATCAAGACTGAGTTTCAGAACCCCCACTGGGAACTGTGGGCTGACCCTGACCATGGCTTCTAGAAATTCTTTTTTCATTCAGCCTGGGACCCTAGTTCATAGGCTAATGAGCATATTCAGAGTGAATCTTTGCTCCTCAGGAGTGGGGCTTAGTGTGGCATGGGAAACTGACTGGTGGAACTCATTACTCATAACTTGCATATCCTGCAAGAGTTATGCCAGGTCAGAAAGACTTCCTCACTGCTGCCTGCACCCTGGAGGGAAGCTGAGCCTGGGAGGAGGCTTTGCCCTGTGCCCTCCACTTTAACAGCCACGATCCTACCCCTCGCCCCTCTCGCTCCCAAACAATCAAGTTCCCACACATTTCCCTTTCTTTTCCTCCCCCGGACCCTCTCTTTAGACTGGCGGGCTTGGAAATGTAGGGACAGAGCTATTGACTCTGCCAGGCACAGAGAGACCTGGTCAAGGGGAACAAAAAGGATGTAACTGGTACCCAGGCTATTGTCACACCTCCAGTCTCAGGGGATGCAGGAGTAATTATACCCATCTCTTCCCATGTCCTCAGGTTCAGGGAACTCCATGGTCATGATGCTCCCAAAGCCCCAGAATGAGATTCTCTTTACACAAGGGCAGTCCTAGCGGAAATGTGAGATGTGACACACATTTCTGCCAGAGCTGGGAGCGCTTTGGGATGAAACTTGAGGCACAGTGTGTCTTACTTTTGTCCAGGAGACAGCAATGCCTTGTTTCTGAGTTTGTATGGCTCGAGGGTTAGGTGTCAGGGCCATGGGTAACTGTCACAATGTCCCCAGTGATGACAAAACAAGAGCTGATATCACAGACAAAATGACTGTTGAGTTTCTCAATCACTCTTCATTTCCTAGGTTTTGACTCCAGGATACTAAAGTTACAGGTGGAATACCACCTTCTGGAATAATGGGAAGACTTTTACAGCCCTGGCACAGGAACTACCCATCCAGATTTTCTTAATCCCCTTTGTACCAGGCTCTGTCTAGTGTTCAGAGAACAAGCTCTTTCTGTAAGGGGCCAGGAAGTAAATATTTCCAGCTTTGCAGGCTGCATGTGCTCTGTGCTGCTTTAGCAAAAACATCCCAGCTTTGCCCAGAAAGCTATTAATAGTGGGAGGGTGGGCCTGAGTGGCTGTGTTATAATAAAGTTTTATTTATAAAATATACCAAGGGCCATATAGTCTGCCCACTTCTGTACTCTCTCTCTGGTTCCCAACCTTAGATATAATCTAGAATCACCTGGGCTCTCTGGGTCACACAATACCCCTGTCCTGTCCCCGAGGTGACTTAATTGATTAGAGGTACATTCTGATTGGAGGTAAGGATCCCTGTGATGACTAATCTTCATTGTTAACCTGATTGGATTTGGAATCCCCTAGGGGATACACCTTTGGATATGCCTTTGAGCAACTTTCCAGAGAGGTTTGACCAAAGAAGGAAGCCCCGCCCCGAGTGTTGTTGTACTGTCCCCTGGGCTGAGTTTCCAGGCTGAATAAGAAGGGGAGAAATGTGCCGAGCACAAGCATTTATCTCTGTTTCTTAACTGCAGACGCACTGCTCACCAGCTGCCTCATCCTCTTGCTGCTGCGCCTTCTCCGTCATGCTGGACCCTCAAACCATGGCCGTAAACAAGCCACTCCTCCCTTAACTGGCTTTTGTCAGATGTTTGGGTGCAGCCATGAGATAAAAACTAATGCTGCCCCGAAGCAATTATGACAAGCAATGAAGGTGGAGAACAGGATGCACCCGACTCATGCGCCTTGTTCCAGTCACCCGACTTCCACAGGCCTGCCACTCAGGTGGTGGGTTACCTGATGACGAAGCTGTGCGTGTCAATCTCCTGCCCACAGCCGCTGTTCAGTAAGACACCCGAGTTGCCCACGATGGCACAAGTCTGGAAATGCTTGTTCTTCAGGGGGGAGGTTCTGGGGAGGAGTTCATAGAGGTTCTGGGACACATTCATTGTGCTGTCTCGATCAAAGATGTAATGAATAATGTCTCCAGGCTTCAGGGTCCCCTTAAGGACGGAAATATCCTTCTCCGCATCCAAGAACTTTAAAATCTGCTTCCTGTGAAAACCAAATGAAGAAAGTCTCCATGAGGATAGATTCTCTTTGCTGGCTCACATGTTCTACTCCGTGTCACCCTGCAAGGATGCTACCACCCAGCAAACGGGTGAGCACACCCAGAGCTGGAATGCCCTCAGGGATGCTCTCTAGGCTGTGCAGATGGAAAGGCACTGCCCTCCCCACCACACACATCAAACTGCCTGTCTTAGGAGAACTACCATCTAACTGCGGAATCTAAAAAAAGGAGTTAGAGTAATGTGTGCCCTCATTCCCCATTGGCCTCTGCTTTTCCAGGAAGGCTTCTTCAGGCATGGTGACATGGGGGTGTGGCGGGGACGTAGATGGGACTGTGGAAGCGAGATGGGACATGACTACTTCCACTTGTAAGGTCCTGTGAGTGTCGCCTCCCAGCCTGTGCACTGGCCCATTCTGCAGCCTGCCTCTTATTCCTCTAGTTGTTGTTTAGTGGGGTTTGTGAATCGTGACATCTCCTTAGTCCTACAGAGACGTGTTCCTCTGGGTCTGTTCAGAACCAAGTGATCAAGATCCAGTTCTCTAGGTTCCAGGGTAAGTTAGATTTAGAGGGGGAGTTCTAGAACAGCACAGGGAAAGGATGGAAGACACCGGAATAGGTGTCTTCATGAAATCGCCAGGAGAATGTACCCCAAACACAGCCTCTCCTTAGGAGCCTAAGCACCAGCTTGGAGCTCTACTTATGGAGACCTAAGGACTTTAACAAGGATGACCCACAGCATACTAACACGGAAGGGAGAGCTCTCATGGCCTAGAACACAGGATAGAGAACTACGAACTAAGGAACCCTGGAAGCAGGGTAAATAGTCTCCCCAGAGATGAGCCCCCAACTGGTTATCCAATGCCAGTGGTCAGCCCCGAACTCTTACACACGCATAAGTAACATACAGACTGAGCAGGTTGTGTTTATAGATTTGGGAATATATACATACATATATACACACACACACACACACACATATATATACACATACATACATACATATATACATAATATGTAGACACACACACACATATGTAACAACAATGCCATGAGTTTGAAATGGCGGCAGATACATGAGGGAGGCTAGAGGGAGAAAAGGGAAGGGGAAAATGATGTCATTATATTTTAATTGAATTTTAAAAAGAACTGCCTAAGGAGCCAGCTAGAGAGCCAGCTGAGTCGGTAAAGCGCTTGTCACGCAAGCTTGAGGGCATGTCTCCTCTCAGGAACCCACATTTAAAAAAACCAAGCACAGTGGCATGTGCCTGTCATTCGGGTGCTGGGGAGGTGAAGACACACGGATCCCTGGGGCTCAGTGGCTGGCCAGTCTAGCCTACGCAGCAGGTTCCAGGCTAGTGAGAGACTGTCTCAAAAACTGATGTGGACAGCTCGTGAGGAACAATGCCAGAGGTTGACCTCTGCCCTCTGCAAGCCCATGCCTACATATGCACATGCACCCACAGATGACAGACACACGAAATGCCTAAGCCATCTTAAGCCATCATTTTTAAGACGTGGCGGTGATTGCAGTCATATAGAGAAAGGAGCTGGGTGCTCGGGTCAGCTGATCTAATTGTATCTCCTGCAGCAAGCCCCCGTTGAGAACCGAGCCAGGGAGGCTTGTCTTCCATCCACAGAATGCTCACATGGCTTGCAAATGTGTGACCCTTCCCAGATGTGCACATGACAACATTGCGTCTTGAGCCTGCCGAGCTTAAAAGGTGTACACTCTGAGGCAAGTCCCAGGAGGCTGCATGTCTGCATACTTGGAAACTAGGCAGAATTTAGAAGCTGTGGCTGACACCTGAGAAAACATGATTCTGTCGGGGCCTGGGTCAAATGATTAATGTATGTCTAGGTTTGGGATGTTCTGAGACAGCCAAGGGGCGGCCAGAACCCTGTGGCATGGCACACTCCATCCACTAGTTCCTACACTGCACATTAGTGACCGGAGTCTCCAGTTACTGAGCAGGAGTTACCACCTTGGCTGAGCGCTTCTTACTTCTTAGGAGGAAACAAAAGCGTTTTATTTACTCCACTTCACTAAAGATTATACAACTTGACACGCTAATATACTTTGGAAATTGCTAATATCCCTTGCAATTACTTACCCCAAAGTATTTAAAAGCAAAGAGAGCCCCCAGAAAGCTCATAAATAAGTACCTCTGTGAGGGAATTAATTTCTAACTAATTATGAGAAATTACAATCAATTATTAAATATCATTCCAAATCACTCACAGAATCTTTTATTGTGAATAATTTCGGCAACTAATTGAGTGGAGGGAAATTCCTTTTCCCTCTGGGTGGAGGCATATTGTTCCTTCGACAGTAGCTGGTGTCTGCAGGCTCCTTATGGAAGCAATGCTGTCCTCTTCTTCACAAATAGGTAGGGGGTGTGTGTGTGTGTGTGTGTGTGTGTGTGTGTGTGTGTGTGTGTGTATGTGTGCATACCCATGTGAGTGTGTGCACCCATGTGTGTGAGTGTGCCTGTGTGTGTGCACATGCATGATGTGTGGTCTCTCTATTCCCCACCTTCTTTTCAGAGTTCCTACAGAAGAGAGCCAGAAGGAGCTGAAGTGGGTGGGTACTGGCAGTAGGATTTTATCCTCAGGGATACTACACTGGGGAATATGGAATATGGTGGCCACCCAAAATATATGGTCAACTCTGAATCCCCGGACCCTGTGAATGTGATTTTACTCAGAAACAGTATCTTGGCAGATGGGATTAAGGATCTTGAGATGAGATCATCTTGGATTCCTTGTGGACTCTAAGTCCAGTGACAGTGTCCTGTGAGAGATGGAGGATGAGGTTACAATGATTCAGATGAGGGAACAGAATAGATAGCTGTCCGGGTGATACAGCTACTGGGACACCTGGGGCCCCCAGAAGCCAGCAGAAGCAGTAAGGAGGGTTCTCCTGGAGCTGCTGGGACAGCACTCAGAACTCTGGCTTCTAGAACCATCTGTGGAGAATAACTGCTTGGCTTTAACCTCAGGTTGGTGGGGTCTGCTGCTGTCTAGCAGTCTTGTCAGCTCCATGGTGCCCCAGAGGAAAGGGCATGGCTGTCGGGACAGTGTAACAAGGATGGGTCTCACTTAGGTGGTCCCAAAAGAGGTGCTGAGAAAGATGGCCTGGTGACAGTTCCTCCAGGTGGGCTCTCAGTCACCGGGCTCCCGGATGTCAATGCTTTTTAGTCCTACACCCTTTTTCTCTCCCCATGAAGCATCTAGAACTACGGGGTAGAGTCACTCACTGGAGGCAACTCCGTGCTTTGCGCTATATTGTATGTGGCTCTTCACCTTTCCTTCACCGTACTGATGGCCTGGGGAAATCATCAAGCCTTTCTTCACATGGTCCTGGCTGCCTCATTCCCATCCCGCATTCCCTATCTTCTGTTCAATGCTCTTTCAGCTTTGGTTACAAATACTATATTCATGCAGGATGTGGCATGGCACTCCTGGTAAACTCCGACTTATCCTTCAAAACATATTGTTATAAGCCAGCCTTTTCCTGGTAACCCTCTTGGACCCCTTAGGAGATGAATGACTCCCTTCAGTACAATCTTCTCAGCTTCACCTATTTGCAAGACATAGTAACGTCTGGTGTGAACATCCTACTGTGTTGCCCTGTCTTTGCTTATTTTTGTGTCTTTCTGCCTAACGTGTCTATTTATGCCAGTAGCCTGGGCCACAGCTCAATGCCTGGAAATGAGCGTCTGATCTATCTGTCATGACTGCATCTGCGCCCGAAGTCCCAAGTGAGGAAGTTATCATTTCTCTCCATGTCTACCACCCAAGGATGACTGCTGTCTGAGAGTGCCAAGGCCAGGACAAAAACTTCTCTGACTTAGACAGATGACTCTTGGTGGTTGACCAGATGTCGGGTCAGTTCTGTGTCTCTCAGCTATGGTTCTGCATTTTCATGGGGGTGGCGGTAGGAAGACAGACAGCTTTCATTCTACAAGGGCCATGGGAGGCGGCAGACAAGGTGAAGGACTGTCACAGAATGGGGACAGAGGTACCAGGTAACGACAAACAAGAAGCAACTCTTCATGCCAGAGAAAGATGCCTGTGGCCTGCACTGCCCAGAAGCAGAGCTCCAGACTTGAACTGAGGATGGGAAAGAAAGCCCGGCCTGCCTCTCTTTCTTTTCCTATAGGTGATGGCCGATAGATACCTGATCCTCAGGGAGAGCGTCTGGTTGTGTCTCCATTTGGATGAAGCTGGCTGGATGCTGTGCTTAATGCTTTCATTACTTCTATCAACAACAGCTGGCAGTGAAGAACCATTTATTACAACTTCAGCTCTGGAAGGGGGAAAAAAAAGACGAAGGTAGACATGATCTGTGAGTCTGCCCATGACAAGTCTAATAGTTTTGTTTTTGCACGGGCTGGGATGTAAACTTCACGAGAGCAAAATTGCAGTTATTACCTGAGAAGGGAAGTCTATTTATCTTCTAGAACGCACGAACTCTCTCCCTCAGGAATAGCCTGAAGACATTGGTTCTTAGAAGCAGGAAGTGGGGGCCTACAACCGCTCTTCCCCCCTCCCATCTCTGAGCTTTCGGGGGAACCTGCAGTCTCTGCCAGGACAGTACAGCTTCCCTTCTCAGCTACAGAGAGGCAAGTCCACAAGGGAAAAGTGCAAATTATTACATGATGGCCCGCAAACTTAGAGACAGCTGAACCTCACGCAGGACAACGTCCTTGTAGCCTGGGGCGTCATCCTCCTCCCCTCATTCCTAATTCTTTCTTGTTTTTAAAACCTTTTTAAATTACATGTGTGTGTGTGTGTGTGTGTGTGTGTGTGTGTGTGTGTGTGGTGTGTATGTGTGTGTGGTATGTGTATGTGTGTGTGTATGTGTGTGTGTGGTGTATGTGTGATGTGTGTGTGTGGTGTGTGTATATGTATGTGTGGTGTGTGTGTGTGTGAGTGTGGTGTGTGTGTGATGTGTGTGTGATGTATGTGTGTGGTGTGTGTGTGTGGTGTGTGTGTGTGTGTGATGTGTAGTGTGTGGTATGTGGTGTGTGTGTGTGTGATGTGTGTGTGTGTGTGGTGTGTGTGTGTGATGGGTGTGTGTGTGGTGTGTGTGTATGTGTGTGTGTGTGGTGTGGTTGGTGTGTGTGTGTGTGTGTGTGTGTGTGTGTGTGTGTGTGTAGGTCAGAGGACAACTTTCAGGAGTCCATTCTCTTTTTCCACCATGTGGGTTCTGGGGATTGAATCGAGACTGTCAGTCTTTGTGGAGTGTCTCTTTGATCACTGTACCATCTCATTGGACCCTCCATCCCCTGCCCTTTTTTTGCTCATAGAAAAAATACCTACTATGATTGAGTTATTAGTGTTGTATCTATCTGCCTGTCTTACCAGACTTCAACTGTGGGATTTTGCTCACTCATGTCTCCATTTCATAACGGTTTAACATAGCAGGTGTCCAATAAATAACCACTTGTTGAATTTGACATTGAAATTGGTCCTGAGAAGCCTGGCATGGAGGAAGGAGCTGGCTGGTTTTGTATTCCTGAGGCAGATCACTATGCTAGATATAAAACATCTTCCTGTCCCACTCAGGGACAACAGGCACGGGAGGACTTTTGAACTCATATACTTGAAATCTATGCAAGTAGGTTTCTAAGAAACCAGGCTACATTGATAGCTTTGAAGGCAGTCTAGAAGCCAGCCTGCCTCCTGCCAACGCACACAGATACATGTGGGTCACGTCCCAAGTTCCTTTTGTCTAGCCAGCAGCACATTCTCCCGGTTAGAATGATAAGTGGGTTTGTAATGCTGAATTCTAGAGCTTTTGAGGGTTCAAACCAAACACCTCTGTCTTCTACATTTATCTTGGAACAGCCAAGTTCAGCAAGATGAAATCCTGTTAGCGAAGCCTGAACTCAATACTCTGTTTTGCTTTATGCAGGCAGAGAAGAAATTCTTCTTAGGGGTCTATCCTGTATGGCACACTCACCCCGTCTGCTCACCTCCATCCCTCCACATTCCTTACTCCTCTGGTTCTCAGCACTTGTCTTGTACCTTTGCAGAGGATAGACCATGTAGCTATGCAGAGGCTAGACCATGAAAGGGTTCAGAGTGGGCTAATGTACTTTATCTAGCACGCAGGCTTAAGGGAACGTATGGAAGAAAATAGAAAGCCCAAACGTTGAAATTTTTATGGTTTCATAGAAGGAAGAGGATGCATTACGGAGGTATTTCACAAACTGGGCATCTGTGGGAAATCACCTTACCTCTCCAATCTAGTTATTTACAGAAAGAAGGGATCTACCAGGAACACGCCAGGCTCTGAAGATCTAGAGTTCTTAAAGGATAGCTGTGTTTCCTACCACCTCCCAGGGTTCCAGCTGGTCTAGCTGCATCCCCTCTGGTACTTCTCTCTCTCTCTCTCTCTCTCTCTCTCTCTCTCTCTCTCTCTCTCTCTCTCTCTCGGTGTGTGTGTGTGTGTAGGTCAAAGGAGGATGACAGATGTCTTCCTCAATTATTCTCATTATTATTATTATTATTATTATTATTATTATTTTAGTTTTTCAAGACAGGGTTTCTCTGTAGCTTTGGAGCCTGTCCTAGAACTTGTTTTGTAGATCAGACTGACCTTGAACTCACAAAAACATCTGCCTGCCTCTGCCCCCGATTGCTGGGATTAAAGGCATATGCCACCACCGCCTGGCCTATCTTATTTTTTGAGACAGTGTCTCTCCCTGAACCTGGAGTTCCCCAGTTCATCTGGACTGTCTAGCCAGCTGCTCCAGACACCCACCTGTCTCTGCTTCCCAAGTGCTAGGATTCCAGGTGCACAGCTCTGTAACTGGCTTGAATTTTATTGTTCTTTAATGTGGGTTCTTCAGATGGAACACATCTTCTCATGCTTGTGCAGCAGCAGACATTCTCCCCACCGAGTTATCCTCCCAGCCCTGGTACTTACTGCCTACTTATGCGTGGCTAGAGGCAAGAACAGTAAACTCAGGACTGTGAGTACAGCTGTCACATCCTAAGACCTCCAATATTCACTAACTTACATTAGTAGGGGTGAGTGACAGAAATATTTTACTGTTTGGGATGGAGTATGGTCTTCCGAAAAGCATCATGGCTGGCATCTCATAGTTTTAGGTGGATTTGGTCCCTGGTGATGCTCCCCAGAAACTGGGCATTTTGCATGGCATCAGGCACACTCAGGAAGAAAGCATCTGCAGAGCTATGGACTCATGGAGGCTTGCAGTGGGGGCCTGCTCAGAAGTCTCTAGGTGGGGTCTCTAGGCTCCTCTTGGGCACAAGGTGTTCAAAGAAGTGAAGAATCCAGGCACTGATAATGGTAACATGTCATTCTGGCCCTAGTTCCTAGCTATCAGGGAGATCATGCAGAGACATCCTTGGTGCTGGGCTTCAACCCTGGCTCTGTGACTATCTGGCTAGGGGCATGGGAAGGTCCCTTTAGGCTTCTGGCCTTTGCCTTCATGTCTGTACAATAAAGGGGACAGCTTAGCTATCCTCAGGGACAGCCTCTATTTACATGTTTCATATGTTCTGTGCTATGCAAGCCCAGCTGGACTACTGAGGGAGATTAGTTCTCTTCTGTGAATGTGGCCTTCAGGTGTCAGGACCCTTCTCTCATCTCCCAAACACTGCAGGTACATTTTGGGATTAAGTTGCTTCATCTTTCAACTCTTGAACTTTGCCGTCAGTCACCAATCTTTGATGCTATCAATACGTCCAGTGACAGCAGCAAGCATCCACTGAACATCTCGATCATCTCAGAAGCTAGAGCCTTATATTCAGTAGTTCAAAGTTGCTGCTTTATCAATGTAATCGAACGGGTTACTAAGACCCAGACGGTGAATGTATTTCCCCGAAGTCCTACCTAGAAAACTCAGGGTTGAACCCAGGGCAGCCCTGCCTGGTTTCCAAGACTCTGCTCAGGTCTCAGACTCAATCTGACAGTGCCTCCTCAAGTTACCATGGAGACCTGGGCCTTGGGGGCAGGATCACCTTTCTCCAAAAGGGGGCATCTTCCCACAGTAGGACAGAGAGAAGTCTTGGACACGTGACTTTCTTTATTTCTGCCGTATTTGCATTTTAGTCAAAAGATACCCTTCATTTGAAGTGCCGCATGGTTGAGGCCATTAGAGCTGTAGACGCAATGATGTCAAGGGTAGAGGGAACGGTTTCTCAAGCCAGTTAGGCAAGGTCAAGATCAAGGTCATACTCTACAGGTTGGGTATGCTCAAAACCTAAAAAAACATGGAGCGTAAACCACAAAACCGAATGCTGTGGCATCTGGATGTTGTGGACCTCTCACTCCCAGCAGTATCAAAAGAGGACAATGAGGAAGTAAAACAATAACTTGAGTTTGAACAATAGCCTTTGTTCGTGTCAAGGGGCTTGCTTCTTACCTCCCTGCTCCTTAAGCTTGGGCTTTGAGACAGAGGTCAGAGCTATGGTGGACTCATCATTTGGTGGAGAACGGAGAATTAGAAGCAAGAGGTGTCTGCAGCGAGTCTGGCTTTGTTGCCTTGCAAAAGCACCTGCCCAGTTCCCTGCACCAATCTCTGCACTAGCCAGGGACTGTCCCAAAGGCTTCCAGTCCCACAATGTAAGAGTGCTCTTTCAGAATTTAGAGTGCACATCCACTAATTAGAGTTAACATTACTTAGTTGACTTCCTACGTATTTTCAGATGTCTCAGCAAAGTTCTTGAATGCTTTCTCCTCATCTGAACCTCCCAGACAAGCCATCAACTACAACAAAATTGGATTAAAGCCCTAGCTTGCTCCAGGGGCTCCACTACTCAGCAAAAATGCAGGTTACAGGAAAGTTGGTGTTAGCTCAAGCCCTACAAAGTGGGCGGGCTCTTTTCCAGAAGGTAACTTTTACCCACCTGTGTTTCCCATCTCTACAGCCTCTCTAGCCCCATGGACTGTTTCATGTCATCTCCCACTGACAGCTCCCCCTCAAAAGTGATTAAGGAAATGCAAAACCAAAGTGAAATGAAACAGATCTATTTGCTAAGTAAGAAGAGCACCACCCAGCAAAGAGGAGAGGCAGATTAATAGGTGCCTTACAGCAAAAACAAATGAACACAAAATCTAATTTACAAACCTATTAGATTTGCTATGTAAGCTGTTCACAGCTGATCTGATTGTACCTCTGCCTCCAGAATTCCTGCAAGACAAAGGAAATGCATTATTTATCAGTGCAGCTCTTCCTTGCAAAGCCCTCTTCAATCACCAGGAGACCCCAGAGCTCACCTGGGGGACCACAGGAAGATGACAACATCTGATTCTGGACTTTCAATAATGGGCCATGTCTTGGTCTTAGGCACAGCCCAGGAATTTTATGGGGATTTGGGTCTCTCAGATCCTCCCATCTCCCAACTGGATACTTCAAATTGAGACACCCATTTGAGATTGGTAATAGACTGCTTTGGAAACATCTCCCTTGGCTAATCCACACGACGATGTGATTCAGTCCAACATGGCATTTGCACCAGCATAACTCAGGTCATTCGCTCTCATCTCTTGCTTTCATTCATGGGTAGTGAGAGGTTGTTCCTCACATTCACTCTGAATTGAAGACACCAGAAATTCAACAGAGGCAAGAAGATACAACCAGTAGTACCCCTAACCAAATGTGGCAACAACTTATTTTCTAGTGGCAGGATGCATACTGTTAACAGTGTTACTGTGTAGGGTGGAGGGAACAGGAGGCATGTGGGCAATGAATGAGATCCTTTGTTCTGGAGAACAGGCTCTTGCAAAGCTCAAGACTTCAGTCCCTTTCCTATTCAGCTGACAGATTCGGTTGTTTGGCCATGCAGCATCATCCTATTTTGCTATTTCATTGACTGGGTAAAGCATGAATGTGTGCCCTTGGCTCCCCACTTTGTACCTGTGCTGTAGAAAAGTCATACGTAAGACTTAACTATTTTTTTCATTAACGGCCACCCCCCCCCCTGATTTATAGGCTATGTGATTAAGAAGGTATTTTGAATTTTACTTATATTTTAAAGTTCTGCTGAGCCCTTCAGAGAAAGAGTTAGTATACAGCAAAGAAACAATTAATATCCCCAGGGAAGCCATGCATTTGGGGAAACTGTGTCATTAAAGGAGAATTCTTTGGGAAGCAGTTATGGCAAAACAGCACACTGGATTTATACAGATATCACCATATGTGCATCTGCACATATATACACACATGCATATATATGTATGTATTTTTCTGATCTGTTGAAATGCAGTTTCAATGTTACTTACTGACAGTCAATAGTCTCCTCCTTCATAGCCAGATAATTGGAGGTGGTAAGAGGGCCTTTAGGATTTCTCCACCATCAAGTTTTGCCCCTCCAAGCCTAGTTCTTTATGACACAGAGTAACATCATACTTACTCTCATTTAATGTCTAGTATTTAATTAATTAATTTGGTTTTATAGTCTTTCCATTTTACTTGGAAGGCAGAACTCCTGACCTTCTGACTGGTATCTGGTGACATATCACAGGTCCCAGTTCTGAACCACAGCCCAGTTGATCCCAGGGGCTTCATTTGGTATGGTGTCCATTCACACCCCTCACTCAGACCCCAGCCATCAAAGCAGCTCTCCACTTGGGAGGGAAGAGCTGTTGGGCTAGATAGTAAGTCAAACATGGTATTTAAAAGTGCAGTAGTAGTTCAAGACTAACAAAAGATTAATGAAACAAAAGAGATTGTCTAGAAATACTGCATGTATAAGAGTTGATACATGATTTTTAAAAGCATTATCAAAGGGAAATTAAGTAAATGGTTTGGAATAGTTGGCTAACAATCTTGAAAGAAATAATTTGAGTACCTTACTCTGGATAGCAAAATGAACTTCAAGTGAGTTTAACTAGTTGTCCTAATTTGCATGGTGTTGCTGTGATAAAACATTGACCCAAACCAACTAAGGTGGGAAAAGGGATTTATTTCTTCTCACAGCTCCCAGGTAAGTTGAGGAAAGTCGAGGCAGGAACTGAAGCAGAGGCCGTGGAGGAATTCTGCCTACTAGCTTGCTGGCTTGCTTTCTGTAGCTTACTCAGCCTGCTTTCTTATATAACCCAGGACCACCTACCTGTCCAGGGGTAGCACTATGCACAATGAACTGGGCTCTCCTGTCAATCATTAATCAAGAGATGTACCACAACCTTGCCCACAGGTCATCTGATGGAGGGTCTTCTCAATGATGTCCCCTCTTTCCTGGTGACTCTAGTTTGTATTAAATTGGCAAAAACACTAACCAGCATGCTAATGCTCCCCAAACCAGTAATTCTTAAATCTCTATAACCAATTTCCTTTATCATCTATGAATACTATCATTTATTTAAACTTTAAAATAGACTCATCTTTAAAAATGTCCTAAGCAAGACCATCCAAGAAACAGAGATATGATGTCATAGCCACGTACTTATTTACAAAAACCACAAAACCATCACAAGGAAAGTATTTATCCGAGGAATCCCTCAAATCATCCCACACCACCATGGGGAATAGTGGGGATATTTGCATATCCCTCTGGGAAAGACCAGATAAAAGAGGAAAATGCTTAGAAGAAAATGCTAGCATGAAGTTGGGAGAGTGTGTGCAGGTGGGGTCTACCAGGAGTCGGAGCAGGGAGCAGAGTGCTGGTGAACATGATCTGAATATATTGTATCCACATATAAAAGTACCAGCTTATAAATAAAAAGTTAAAGAAATACAAGAAATGGGTTTAAAAAATGGCAACATATTTATGAAGTGTTTGACGAGGGCCCGGGAGTGTATGTGAAGGGTAAGAAGAGATAACAGATTCTGGAGAATGCTCCGCCTTCATCAGAATCTAAAATGCTGCTTATTCAAAAGGCAAACCCAGCTCATGGGGGCTTCCACGAAACTTACAGGGGCTCCAGGTGAGGAGAATGCTGCATCTAATTTAACTTTGAAAAATCATTCATTCAACAAAATTTTTTGAGTAACATTGTAGCTAGGTTGCTGGCAAAGCTGAACACACAGTTCCTGTCCTCATGAAGAACAGTTTCAGAGACACCACAAGGATTCTTCTTCTTTTTCCCGCTTTTCTTCTTAAGTTACCAGTTTACCACTGACTTCATATACATACATATATACACATAAAAACAGAAATGATTCTTTGTGTTCATGGGTCCTACATCTGTGGGTTCAACCAATTTAGGATAAAAAGACACCTTAAAAATTTTATGTTAGTTGGGTGATGGTGGCACACATCTTTAATCCCAGCACTTGAGGGGCAGAGGCAAGTGGATCTGAGTTCAAGACCAGCCTGGTCTACACAGTGAGTTCTAGGACAGCCAGGGCTGTTACACAGAGAAACCCTGTCTCAAAAAACCGAAAAATTGTTTTTTTGTGTCTACTGAAGCTGAACAGACATTTTTCTTGTTGGTACCCAAACAGTACACCAAAGCACTTATATCGTATTAGAAATTAGCAGTAATGAGTCCAAAGTATACGAAAGGATGTACATAGGTCATAGGCAAATACTGTACCACTTTATATAAAGGACTCGAGCACTTGTGGAATTTGGTATCTGTGGGAGAGTCCTACAGTCAATTACCCACAATTACTGAAGACTAAGTGTATCCATCATGTCCATTGTGATGCCTTAATATATGTATATATTATGAAATGACTAAGATAATTCATATACCTATTACCTCTTATAGTTGTCTTTTTTTGTTGTGAGAACATAGAAGATCAACCTAATAGCAATTTTCAAGTATACATTATTGTTGTTGTTATTATAATTATTTGAGCAAAGTCTTGCCATGTTACCCAGGTGGGCTTGGATTTGTGATCCTTCTGCATCAGCCTCCTGAGTAGCTGGGACTATAGGTGTGAGACATTGTGCTTGACTAAATACGGTATTAGCTGTAGCTACTGTGCTACAAAATAGAACTTTAAAACTGCCTAACTGACCTTTGTGCCTTTAGACCAACATCTCCTTCCTCTGTCCCCAGCCCCCGACTGAAAGGTTTAAAGGGATCAATACTTGACCAACACCAGCTCCAAGTCTTTCTCCTTTTCTGCCTCAGGCCAGGTCCCAGAGAACATGGAATCCTTCAGACTTTACCGTCAAATACGTACACTAACTCAGGGCTCTCTATTGTTGACATGCTTGACATTCAGTCAGGACATCTCTTTGTCAGTGAGGCTAGAAGGGGGCCACTATCTCTATGTTATAGTATCCTGGGCTTTTTTTTTTTTTTTTTTTTTTGAGACAGAGTTTCACTATGTAGCCTTGGTTGTCCTGGGACTCATTATCTAGACCACAGATGTCCTATGTCTGCCTCAGTCTCTTCTGGGATTAAAGGTATGCACCACCAAACCCATCTGCACCCCTGACTTCTGTCTACTGCATTCTAACAGTAGACTTCTTCCTCATCTCAAAGGTGTGACCATCAAAAATGTCTCCGCCAATTACCAGCATCCCCTGGAATGTGGTGCAGGGGCTTGCTGCTGGTCTAGAACCTGTGTTGTGACTATCATTTCAGGTTAGTGCCTCCCAGCACACTCAGTCAAGCAGATCATTCTTACCACACTTCCACGCTAACCCCCAAGCCCCACACCTGGCCCTCCCTCAGAACTACCTGGGATTTCCATTCTCAGCCACTCTTTCCTTCTCCTTCGGGAGCAGCTGCTTTTCCCCCAGCATCTTTTCCCAATCCGTCAGCTCACAATCTGACCCCTCCTCTGACAGCTGAGAGGCCAAGGTCTGAGTTTTTGCTCTAGCTTCCACTTCCTTGCCTGGTCCCACTGCAGTGTGTGTCCCTTAAGGATGAACAGTGACCTTGTATTTTATTTTCCATATTCTGATGTTTGGACATTTGGGTCTTGCTGTCTGCAGATATCATCCCTCCTAGGGTTAACTAAACCTACAGATAATCAAGGCTCTCATGGGCATGTGCCCTTCAAGCATGTCAACCAATCATGACATAGTCCACATGCCACCACCTCATTGATGGAGTTCCCACTAGAGGTCATTATTCCTTTGCACAATAGCCCTAAGACCAGATATGAGAACACCAGGACCATAGTCTATACTTCACAGCCCACAGAAATTACTCAAACTAGCCCACTCACCATCCTTACCCATTGCCTTCTTACAGAAGCCACACTAAAGGCTCTTGCAATCTGTTTCT